GTTTCACGATTTAAAAAAAGTGTCTTGTTTTCCATCTCAACCGAAATCAAGAGATTGGATTATATCACTTTACAAGATAATATATTATTATGCCTATGATTTCTGCAGATGATGTTGCATGGCGCGATGACGATGTGAAATGTCAAAAAATTCCCGGTGTGTCTTTTGCATCTGTTGTGTATTCAAAACTTAACTTATTACCAATATTTTAGTACTATTATTATCCCGAAACTTGTAATAGGCTGCTTTTCTACCTTACACACTTCTTATTCTAGGAAGCACTCGTATAATTTTTTGTGATATCAAAAATAAATTTCCGAATGAAAAATTGAAAAGAAAAATGTAACGTATTAGTAACAATTAAAATTTTGTATTTAAAAAAAAAGTTTTTAATTTTTTATTTATTTGATACTTTTATATATGTTATCAATAAGAAATTACTCTATCGAAAGCCTCCTTTCCCCATTTGCACTTTCTAACACAGCCACAAATGCAGTCGATTATAATGAAAATCTGGCAATGCATTTATGAAGGTGAACTTCTTGACTTAAAGAAAATACGAACAAACCAATCAAAATGATAAACAAACATACATGTACTGTCCACAGTTGTTCGGTTCAGTTAAACATATATTTTTTTTTATATTATATCAGATATATGATATTAAAAAACTCTCAAGTTACGAGTTCCTCTCCCCCTTTCCGCTTGCAAGCCGACAGTTCTTGGATTGGCTTAGGTCAAACATCTAGATAACGTGGTAAATCATCCGGATTTTCTGAAAATGATACTGGTGTTAAATGTTAAAATTCTGCCTTTCAAAGCTCGAGATTTTAGGTATGAGAGACAGACTGTGGGTAAAGTGATCCTTCAGTTCGCTCTGCTTTGCATGGGACATAAAATTGGCGATTTCAACCATAAATGTAATATTACTTTCTTGTAGTGTCCTTATTTCGTGTCTCCGTGATAAAATATGAATATGCAGAGATATAAAAGCAATCGACCTCCAATGGTTTACTACTTACATAAGTCCAAATCTTATCATGGGACATCAATTGCATTTAATATTGAAGTGAGCAAAAATTAACGGAAATGTAGTTTTAAACTGATTTTAGTTTAAAAACTGCGAACAGCCTTTAAGATAAAAAGTTTGATGGTGGTTAAATTAAAGAACTAGTCTCCAAGCTTCATCAAGTCATCGTTGACCATTAAACATGTCACCAAACGCAGTCCGTGATTCTGTCTTCATAAAGACGAAAACCCTTCAGTATGGTAATTAAGGTAAACCTTATTCATATATCATCGATATATATATGGAGTATGTAAATTGATAAGAACAGGAGTCTGGATCTTTCTAGCTTATCCTGTTATCAGCCGTCTGATCATGTCGGAAAACTCCGAATTCGTCCAACACGAAGAACTTGAAGGCGTCGGATCTATGGAAACCACTGTGTCCACATCTAAGACCAGGATGGACAATTTCTCCGATTCATTGATGAATGTGATAAACATTCTCCATGTGGTTTATGTATAGACATCAGAGACAACATCGTTGTGACCGAGTATCTAAAGAAGAAGTTAAGAAACTAATTCAAGGACATCCGAAAAAAATGTACCCTGTACCCTATATCATTTTTCATTATTTTTTTTTAAGCACATGATACAAGTGATAATCTAAATATGTTTCGCTGGTCAAATATACTCATAGCCACCCTAATAAAAATTTACTATAGTTAAGTATAGTTTACTATAGTTAAGAGTAGTTTACTATAGTTAAGTACAGTTTACTATAGTTAAGTATAGTTTAAGAATAGTTTACTATAGTTAAGTATAGTTTACTATAGAAAACACTGTATAGAGGATTATTTTCGCCTTTTCACTCAACACACAGTTTTGTTAACAAAATAATACTGTCTTACATGTATTTGAATTCGTTCCGTTTTAAATTCGCTCTCTTCCGACGGGAGCGAAAGCTTTAAATAAGAACTTTTATCGAGATTTAGAGCTTCAAAATCTCTCCATTTCTATGCCAATGATGTAAATTTTTTGGAACAATATGTAAGTATTCAAAAGATAATTCCGGTTAGTATAAAAAAAATCGCATTTAAGAATTGGAGAAATTCACGATAAAAATGCTTTGATTTATTATAGTAAAAAATTTTTATTTACTCTAGTAGAAACTTTGTTACTATAGATAACTATTGCTAACTATGATAAAAATATATAGTTTACTTTAGAACAGGAGGTGAAAACCGTGTGTATTTCTGTATTTCGAGTACCTTGAAAATGTTGTTGTATCTGATTTATCTTTGTTCCTATTCGAAAAAATATACAAGTTTTCAATGTCATGTAATCCAAAGATTTTTAATGATTGCAAAATTATTAAAATTAACTTTGCAATTTCATAAAACATAACAAGACTTGTATAATTGTAGACATTTTTTATTGACAAATTAATACTAGAGTGTGGTTTTCATGGACACAGACCATATTTTCTTTGTTTTATAAATAAAAATTTTGTTATGGTGGACTATTGATCAAATACAGATAGCCTTCAGTGAGCAGTATCTTCACTTTATTTGATTACATAAGTCTAATCCTTTTTACGCGTATCTCCAAACATACAGTTTTTGTACAGTTCATTGGGAAAAGTAAATCCAATAAAAGTATTTTAAATTTTGAAACTACATTTATACACATGTAGCACAACTAATATAAATTTCTTGTAATCAAAACAATTAAGATTTGAAATAAACTTGCCAAAGTCTAGCATATTTTAAAACAAAGCACTTCGATAAAAATCGAGGGTTTTTACATACGTATCATTATATAAATACGTAGTATTGCATGTAGTTGAGTGTGACATTGAAAATTTTCACCCCAAGAAAACCATCGTCAACCGAGGCACAGCCAGAACGAGGCACCAAGGATAAATTACTCTCTTTTGTTGAGAATGACTTGATACATGTATATACTTTCTTCTGTACATCACCATATATGAATGAGAGAATAAAACACTAAATTTACATAAATTCTTCTTGTTTTCTTCACTGAAGAGCCTTCACGCAATGCTGCCCTATATCATGCAATGCTTCCACGCAAGGGTTTCATGTTCTGCACGTTGTATACATATTGTCTAGTTCTGCAATGTACGGTCTCAATCTCAGTCTGCCTTACACTGATATATATGAACACTTGTAGTAACCACTGATGAAATAATAATGTGCTGGTTTGTTGGTACTTGTATTTAATTTGTGATATCCGTTTTTGTTATGTTTCACTACTAAATGTAAGAATTTGTGCTTACTTGATACTAAATTTTCTTTTATTTATTAAAGTATACTTATGTAAAATCTCCACAATTTGCAAAAATCTCACAAAGATTGAAATTATTGCCTATGAAATAGCATACACACACTAAAGAGGGCAAAAAGAATCATTTGCTCATACTAGTCTACAGCATATTTTTTCGATATGAGTGGGTCTTTGCTCAATTTTTTTTTTAAAGTTTATTCTCCAAGTCTGCGTAAAAATATACACTTCTGGTTAACAAAAACATGGAACAAAGACCCACTTTAACTTAAAAATAGACTTTTATGACACAACATTCGCATCTTTCCGAGAAATACTTGGTCCATTTAGTCAAAGGGTCATATACTTGGTCCATTTAGTCAAAGGGTCATATACTTGGTCCATTTAGTCAAAGGGTCATATCACAAACATGATTTAAATGTCACTGTTCATCAGGAGTTGCAAAGCGTATTGGTTAGTCTCAAAGGAAAATAATACTCAGGATTTTCAAACCTCCTGAATACCACATTAATATTTTTATAACAGAATAATTTTTGCCGAGAATATTTTCCTCAGAATTTTTTTTTATCATAATTTCATAAATTTCAATAATGAGAACTTCACTCTAAATATTAAACTCACAAACTGAATATGATTTTATTCATCTGAAGATATAGGCATTCTGTACACCTTGTTCACCCATCTCCTTTTCCCCCCATTGATACCAAAATCTTTAAACGTACAAGTTTCGGAATGGTTTGCAATCGTGTTTTGTTTCCTCTTACATAACGAGAAGTTACAGTATATGACAATCACTGCAATTCATGAATGACACAGGAAGAATTTCCAGTGAAGGACACTTCAAAACACTGAGTCTTTTGAAGACAGAGTGAGACCCATGCACATTGGTCATTATTGCAATTTTTAAAAATTCTTTTTCGTATGCGGGAATGAAATTAAGCCCTTAAAGATCAAGGACCCGATACGGCCAATATAGTATAAGATCACACGATTATGCACATAAATACGTTATTTAGAAAACTATTAATTTACATTACATTTACTGAATTCATTTTTGTTTAAGGTAACAAAACCTAGTAGTTTCTTTCCATCGAACCAAATTCTCAATAGTTTTTTTTATCAATCAAGATTTTGAAAAATGGAAGGACAATGAACTATAAAACTTAAAAAAAGTTTTTAAAAATAGGAAAGCTCTCATATATATATATAGTACGTCACGGTAAATAGCTCTCGGTCGCTGAAGCAGCTACGTCCTTTGAATAAAAGTGCATATTATTTGAAGGATGGGATATCTTCACTAAATACTCATCTTTTCTGAATTTATCTTGATCCACCCGAAAAAAAGGCCGTTTTGTTAAGTTTTCACTGCCTTGCGTTTTTGTAACCTTCAGTATCTTGTAACCTCGAGCCAATTTCCACACGCTTCCTTTCAACAAGAGAAATTCATTATACTAAATAAATATACCATGTATTTATAAAATCATGATTGTTTTTTTTTATATACATGTTTAGGTTGCACATGGTGTAAATGTAATGGTTACCTTTTTTATATGAAACAATGATTATGTAAATCGATCCTTCTTCTCTGCGCCATGATGATTTTATCGATACTGCATTAAAATAACACTTTGCACAGTTGAATTGAATGAACCTCCAGTGTTTTTTAAACATGAAACCTTACCCCTGTCATATGTCCCAAACGAATGCGCAGTTACCCGAGCATAAACGTGGATATTGTAATTAGGGCGGGAACCAATCCACTACACTTCGTCCTCCGGACATCGAGGGGGTAGTAAAATGGATCGCCCGCGGGACCTTTTACTTTTCCTTTTATTTCTGCAGGTCAGTTTTTTATTTAAAACATACATCTATGTTATTTTCGCTTTATGACAGTATTGGGATATAGGGTGTGGTACAGTGTATATTGCATTATACATATAAAAAAGTTCCACATGAGATGACGATGCTATATATATTCATATTTCCATCTGTCCTTAAAGTGTGACATCTGTAAGAAATCAATTGAAGCTTTTTGCGCTATCATCTAAATAATGTTATAAACCTTTACAAATCCGTTCTGTTGTTTTCCATTGAATACTTCTTAAATTATGCAAAGAAAATATGTCTTAAGAATGGAAGATTTTTGATCAGGCTACATTTTCTTGATTTTAATTTCAAAAATGTTCTGATTAAAGTCAATAATTTGACCGCATGCAGAGAGTGCTATTTACTTTTGGGGTTTGGTTCCAGTGAAGCGTGACAAACTTCCGTGTTCTACAAGAATTGGTTGGTTCTCAAAATTCAGTCTTTGAGTAGGCCAAACAATTAAATGCATAACTACCATACAATGCGCCTATTGAGTAACACAGAGTCACAAGATCACGAATCGTTTGAAAAAAAGAATTTTCCTTAATGTTAAAAAGTTTCAGTTTTAGTTAACATGTAAAATATCACACTTTTTGGGGAGTTATAAAACGTGAATTTTGTTGTTTTCAAAACCTAGGTGGCTTAATGGTCATAGAATACAAAAGTGCTGAGAGAACTTTGTGTTTAATGATAAATGTTTATTGGGTTTTGGTCATGGTATGTGACTTTGATTTTATCACAATGTATTGGAATGGGTGTGTGTCGACAGATGATCGGATGAGCAGTCATCGCGCAAGGCTCTTCATCTATTTCAGGTCACCTCCATCTCGCGTAACGCGACACTCTTGCCTTTATTAGTAATGGTTAAGAAATTTACAACGTGTCTGTTTCGAAATGCAATACTCATAAATGGTTGACCTGGGAAAAAGTATATATAAAACATATTATGTTGCAATTAAATCACAAATAATACATGTACTTATAATTTAAAATTGAAGAACAACGCGAAATTCAAGTTTTTATAACAAATAAATAATTACAATATATGCAATTAAATAATAATTACAATATCTTCAACTTAATTGAATGAGAATCAAATTATTCACATCGATTGTAATTTTCCAATGTTTTTTTTTTTGGTTTTTTGTTAGAATCAAAGATTTAATTTCACTTGACATCGATATAGACAACTTTACATTCATAGTTCTTTGTTATTTGATCTAACTCTGTTCTGCCATTGTTGGTCAATTAATAAGAGGAATACATTAAAGATGACATGAATTCTTAACTACGCAATATTTTCATCTTTGTACGAACTGTTTCATACTCATTCGCCGCATTCCGCCATATTTATGGTCTTTCTTTCAGATACTTATTCTACCGATATACATGTACATCCAAATAAGATCGTAACACTTGATTGATTTTTGGATTGGCTGTTGACTAACATCTCCGATAGTAAAGTGTTTGGGAACATATGGATTGATTGGAAAACAAAAGCAGAAATAAACATAATGAAAAAAAAAGTAGTAATAATGATTTGAATATATAGATGCAAATTTGGTAAAAAATAGTTGCAAGTGTATTTTTGATATACATGAATGTATGTGCACAATAACATAAATAACTAATTATTCACAGAATTACTCTTGCAAACATCAAGCAATATCTACAGTAAGAATGGAACAAACGCGCATGCTTTGTATATGTACATTACAGTCTATGCGAAAGTCTAAAATATTTACAGGACATAATATCTGGTAAAAATGTATATTTTACCAGACCAAGCATTTACTTACCAGACCAACCTTTTTTCTTTAAATTCAATCATACATCATTATGATACAGAGATTGAAAAAAAAGGAGGGGGGATTCTCACTGTTAAATTGAACTTCAAATAGATCCAGATTTGAGATTAAAAAAAATTATTGTCAAAGATTTTTTAAAAAATTAAAATGCACTTTAAAATATATTTATTTATTTTCTGAAGTAACTCATTACGGTTATTCTTGTTTATTAATGAAAATAATTTCGCCAAACCGAATCTACCTATGAGCTATCTGTAGATCTATATTCCATGACAGAGGAAATTTGAGTTAGAAATAAACGATCATGACAGGATTCTTATAGATTAAAATTAATCATGTATTACTGCTAAATGGATCAAATAAAGGATATGTGTGGAGAATAAGACCATATATACATGTAAATTCAGATTTTTAGGCCTTAATTTTTCATCGGACAATTGGTCCTGTAACCTGAATTTTTTTACCGACCCGAACCAAATTTTACCGGTAAAAACCGATGGTCCGGTGACTTTCGCATAGACTGACATTATAGTTCATGCATGTAGAGAAAACGAGTCGAACGCTCTAAACTTATCTATACCTGAAAATAAGACTTGTGTACTGGTTCGGAGAAGTGCACAGTCATATCGAGTGAATTGCATCTTATATTCCATTCATTGAAATATGCGTCAGAAAATGAATTAATAAAACCCTTTCCTCAAAAATAATTACGTAGTCATTTCATCATACAGCCTAGCACGTGGATACATTTGGTCCATGCTGATCAGTTTACTCTATTTCCGTCAGGGGAAAGTCAAAAAATGAAAATAGAATTGTTATTTGCGCTACAGGGCAAGATGTATAAAGCAACTAATAAATCATTCAAGTATTTATTTGAAATCAAATCATTCAAGAAATTACTGATTGTTGTAATGACATATAACTACATACATGCATTGTCTAATGATTATATTTTTGGTATTCTGTTGGTTGCATTGCGTAGCAATGGTTTTGTTGTCACATAGCGTTGTGCATTTAAAGTGTCTAGGGATACTAAAATATTTTTGACTAAAACATCTTGTCAAACTCAGATCTCTCTCTCTCTCTCTCTGAGAGAGAGAGAGAGAGAGAGAGAGAGAGAGAGAGAGAGAGAGAGAGAGACGTTGAACAGTTTTATTTTCATTTGAATATAAATATGTTGAAATGATTTTATCCCAATGTTCTTATGTGAATTTTACTAGATTGGGACAAAGGAAGTTCTCGGCCACAGCAATGAGGGCAAAATGGGCGACATTGAAATCAAGTGCCCTAGCGGTATGTAATTTAAAACTCTTTTTACCGACTATGTATGAAACATAGCGTACCTTTTGCAGGGGCGGATCCATAATTTTTTCCGAGGGTGGGTCCATATGTCAGACAAATTTAGACCTTTGTTCCAAATGACGCTAAACATGTGTAGTAGTATACAAGACAATTTTCTTGCTTATGAGTTTGCTATGGTGCATACTTTGCGGATTTTTGAAATGATAATGTATTCTATACGTTACTTTACAGAACAGTAGAACTTTTTTAAGGACATGCTTCGTTGTACATGAAGTTAAAAAAATGTAGTGCATCTCGTTGATAGTTTTAGATTACAGGAATTAACTGAACATCAGAGAGTGTCTAAAAAACTGTATAATTGGATTATGCACGGTTACAACTGCCATTTAAAACTCATGTAAATTCTGTTAAGGTATTTTGTAAGAGTTTACCTGTATTACGTAGCTTACTCTCTCTTGGCGGGCCATGGCAATTTGGCAATGGATATTTGTATTTTCAGCTCCAGATACACAAAATGCTTAAAATGCAGTAAACATTTGTCATTCGATACTCCAAAGAACATTTTTTAATGTTAATTTCCGGTCTAGATTTCACACATTTTTTATATAATTTTTTTTCCATAAAAGCAAACCTGACTATTTACTTACATTGTTCAATTTATTTTCCAAAGATTATGATCCAATTTGTAAATCAAAACCGACTTCAATTGTTCCAGTACAAAGGACATTTAATTTCTTATAAGTCAACAAACTATATGAGCTAATTCTTTTATTTATCTTTTCAAACATTCTCCATATATTAACACATTAGATTGCAGAACTGCATCGAAGGTTAATTCTATACTACGGTGTACATCCATGGCCCTAGGGATAGAAAATATAACATATAGTAGTTAGTATACATTTATTGATTGGGTTCGAGGGCAGCATGCGATTTGTCAGACCAATAACCGAACTCATAGTTTGGTTTGAGGGGTCGACAAACCGCATTTTACCCGTGATCACAATTAATGTTGTGTTACACCTTTACTTTTTTTTTTATTTTTACACATCTTGCGCTGGCTCCCATGATGGAAACTTCGTTCATCCGCACGGCGGATTTAACTCGATCAGTTCCGTAAATGTCAAACACCAACCATACAAATAAGATATAGCTGGTCCCGCCTACAGTGACGTAAAAAATGCCATTGACAGGTCCAATATCTCACTCAGCGGTCCAACATCAATTTTTTTTGTCCGCTCGGTCAAACCTTGAAAATATAAGACTTTTTTTTGTAAAAATTTATATAGGAAACAATTTTCAAATGTATAACAATACATATTTATATATATTTACTTTGACGCAGTCATGGACACGTCCAATTTAATTCATCGCAAAGGTGTATTTATTCAAGGTCCCACGTAATGCAAGTTACGATGTGCATATCAAAATGACAGAACAATGATCGTGAATAGCTAGTGATCTATACAAAGGTCAGTATCACTTATTGTTTGGCCAGTTCTCAACTTCAAGTTAAATCAAGTGATGACAAACTGAGCAAAAATTGACGAAGATTGGGTGTTTGCACTCTTAATATGGTGCAAACAAGGACTTGGACGCGAAAGAAAAAAATATACATGCAGACAGACAGCAAATAATGCTACAACATCATAGGATAAGTCAATAAATGAGCGTCAAAAATATTACCGTAAATCTGGAAATTTTTGCTGTAGATAATTTTTTTTAGCAAATATGCGCATGCATTGCTTTCGCAAAAATATTTTTCTTAAAAATAAATCAACAACAAAAAATATTTTTATCTAAAGATTAATAAAAGATTACATCGTTATATATATTTTATGTACATGTGTGATTTATGAAAATGTTATGAAAACTTTCAACACTTTGGATGATTTATCTTTTCTAATATTTTTATCTGATTATTGAACGTTGGCGTAGTTTAATATTGTATGTTTATTCGTAATTTATTGTTTGTACATGCATAACTTACAAACGTTTAAGAAAATTTTAAGAGCTTTTTATATTTTAGTTCAAATTACGATTCGCAAAAATTTTAAACGTAAAAATTAATCAACAGACTTTTGACCCAGATTCGCAAAAATAAATCGACGTAAAAATTTCCAGATTTACGGTAGTAGTCTGAGGTAGTGTTGACTCTGACGCTGATGGTGGGTGGGGGTTCCTATGTTAATCGACCAAGAAAAATAAATGGATTTTCAGATATTCTGGAAAGATAAGTTAGTACTCTCATCTAAAGGGTTAACAAAATGTTATATCCCACCTTTGGCTTATTTACCACTGCGTTCCTTCAAGGGCTTCCATATATAAGGTATAATTTTCTTGCGATAGGGATTAAATCTGTAAATGTGCTTACCTAGGCTTTACCTGTCGCCCAATCCCATTCAATGTATTTTGATATGCATTGAATAAAATATGATTTAAGATCATACTCTTATAAAATCTGCCAATAGTACCTCATAACCAGTAATTATTAAATATGTTTCATGTAATGCCATATATCATTATTTTGATTTTATTTCAGGGGCTTTTTTCTTCAAGGGTTATTGCTTCATGGTGGTGAGGGTGCCAATGACTTGGGAGGACGCCATGACAGCCTGTCTAAGGTAGACTCTTTCGACGCTGTTCATAGTTATAGCACCATTGACATAGAGGCATTTGAATCACATTCACTTAGCATTCGGGAAGGCGGATGGTTGATTTATTTTTGTTCTCTGTGAACATTTAATATCAATCACTGGAAGAAACTATTTGATTGATTGGCTGTATGTTGTTTTACGTCCCATTTGAGAATTTTTCTCTCACATAGAGACGTGGAAACTATTTGAAATATACTGTGTAATGTAAACTTATATCATTGTAGTATGGACTTTGGAATTGCTAGTGGATTGATAGGACGTTTGGGAAAAATGGATGTTTTTGTGGAAAATTTGTGGACATTTTAACGGACGATTTATAGAACATTTTAGCGGAATTTAAAATAGAATGTGGACACTTTACATGTATTTTCAAATATCTGTGATGCCTATTTTAATAGAAATGACACTAAAACATTTTTAATAAGTTAAAATATTATCAAATCATGAAGAGTATGAATATGAATAAAACAGAAATAATTTTAAAAAAAAAAAAAGGAAGACAAATAAGCAATAATATTTATCATTTACCATTTATCAAATAAAAAAAAATTATGATAATATTTATAATAAATATAGATTAAAAAAAAACGACACTAATTAATTTATAATATTTATTTCGTTTACCATTCATTGCATTATCAGAATGTTTATATTTTGAAACTTTTTCTGTGGTAATCGAAAAAAGACTATAGGTCACCTTAATTAATTTCTGTTGTTCTCTCCCTCCCCTTACCTGTACACCATTCCCATCTAGCCAAAACCAATCACCCACATCAATTTCAGAATTTTGGCTAGGTGGGAAGACGCTAGCCAGTCTGAGTCTGCTACCCCCTTTTCACGAGCAAGGAGGTGAAAATGGGATTTAGAAGATCGACATATACATATATGTAGTTAATTTAAATACAGTTAATACTTAAAATTATCACACTAAATGCGATCGAGTTTTGGAGTATTTCACAGAGCATCCCAAAGAAAATAATCAGATTTTAGTATTCCATCACAAATGATTCGTTTTTATATTCATCACTTCAATACAGTTCAGTGTTGTAATAAAAGATGAATATGTACACGTATTTACCTGTATGGATATGTATGTGTTATTTTGAGTTTTATTCAAGTGAAGATTTTTTTTATCTTTACCACCGAAACCTTCAACATGGTTGGAAACGTAGTCATTAATCAGCTGATCGTTGATCAATTTTTGTTGAATATTGATGATTGATTTTTTAAAAAAAAAAGTATCTCTGAAATAACTCTGCTAAATTTTTACAGGTAACCATTTTTACTTCCGTTAAAATGTCCACGAAAGTTTTCGCTGATATGTCCATTTACATCTGTAGAAAATCCGCCAAAAAATGTGCAGTTAACAACAAATTGTTTTATTCATAGATCTGGGATGTATCTCAGTTGGATAGAGGATGCTATAGAAAACAATTATGTGGCGACCCATGCGATGTCTCGTGTCAGTCAATATTGGATAGGTATGTGTTTGTAATTTAGTATAAGGATTAATTATTAATGGACGAAACCAGGTACAAGAAAAAACATACACTGCATAATGTCTATAGAACTATGCTTGCCGTGGTGTACTTAAAAATTTCATAGATTGTAATTACATTGTAAGTATTTGTATAATATGAATTAGTGGGCAAACATCAGGAGCCTCGGTGAAACAATAATCAGGCACGTAACATCATTAATTCTTGTATGAGGTGGGGCAGCCGGAAAAAGATTGACGACCTACACAGGAAAATATGGCTTGATATTCATGTGATTATCTTTTTATTTGAAAATTGTGTGAAAATCGTGTAAAAATTATATAAATATTTTTTCATGCGAAAATCGTGAATAAGTTTATATGATATTCACATATATATATATTTTTAGAACTTTCATGTGAAGTTTTCTCTGCACGATTTTTATGCGATATGCTTTTCATGTAAAATTCATATGAAAGTAAGGTGAAAATGGCTTAAAGCAATATGAGCTGCAAATTTGATGTCGGAAATTTTTGTTGCAAAATTGTAATTTACTATTGCAATGACAGAAAAGAAGAACGTTTATAAATTTCTGATGTTCAAATTTGCGATGGGAGAACTATTTATAAGCTTTGATTGAAGCTAAATTGTATTATTGTCATCCTGTACAATATTGATTTCTTATATAACTATACATTCCATTGTACTGAAATCTTTGTTCTGAAACCAACAAATACTCTATTTTCATATATAATTGATCATAAAGGTTTAAGTTACATATAGATTTATCATAAAAGCACATTTTAACTGAAAAATAAAATTTTCAAAAAATGCAGCTCATATTGCTTTAAAGTTTTCACATATATTTCACATGTCTTGTTTTTCCTCTATTTCTCATGCAAAGAATTTACATGAAATTCATGTGAATTTCATATAAAATTTATGTAAGCCACTTTTGCCTGTGTACTTATTAAAAAACAACAACATTAAACAACAATATTGACAACTAAAAACAGTGTCCTATCAATTTTAATGGTGGTGGGGGTGTTAGGTTCCAACTTTTTCAACAAGAATTTAAAAAAAACCCCATTAAGATCAATATAGGCGGATTTGACTTCGCTTACATGCAAACGTGCAATAAACTGCAAGGAAAGAAATTTTCACCATAGTTCTTCAGTCATAGTGACCACATTATGTAAACTAAAAGAAGATCCCAACAATCACTATAAAAGCTTTTGAATCTAGCTCTGTTGTTTGGACCCAGAGAGATTGAATTTATAATGTAATTTAGCTAAACGCAGGATGTTTAGAAATCGCATGTACTAAGTACTCCTGAACTAAAGATTCACTCATCTGTAAAATACGGCCATGGTACCTGCAGAATCCAATCCTTTGGATAAATAAACTGAAAATGTTTACGCATTCTTTAAAGCATTTAGCAAAAATTTTAGTTTCCGAAACGTGTATCTCCCTAAAAAGCTTATAAATCACTTTAACACCCTCTTTCTGGAAAGTTTAGGCCAGCTGTAGCATCAGCAAAACAGTTTTAACTTTTAATTTGAGCATGAAATTAAAATATCAATGTCATCAATAGTTGTGTATTGATAGACCTATTGGGTTCTGTATGATTGTGCTGTTTCAGTTTAGTCATCGAGAGTTCTGCATAGCACTTTCTTATCATATATATATATAACTAGTAAAGATAGGAACCGTATGTGTTTACTCGTATTTTTATGACAGTGCAAACTCTTATGTTGAACAGGTGAAATGACGGAGTTCTTGACTGGTCTTATATTGAAAAAGGGGTGGTGGTAGCAGATCCCCCCCCCCCCCCCCCCTTATATTAACTTTTTTTATGGATATAAAAAAAGTCCTGTATTTGTACATGCTGTAATATTTGTAATCCGATAAGCCATTGAGATGCTTAGATTAACCAGAACCTACATGTATGTACAATTTGTACATGATATAACAACATCACAGACCCGGCCGGGATCGGAATTCCAAATGCAGACGATAAACTCGTTTGACCACCTGCACTCGTACACTATGCCATATAAAATGCGTAGTGTAAGGATGGTCAGAAAGTAAGAAGCGTTTAGACTGTCACTAGCCACGACCCTGCACTGTTAATGTTACCCCAGCATGCTATCCATGCTTTAGCGGAGTTTTCGCGGCAACATTCTTTTGGCATGGGCAAGCACATGGTAAGGCGAGACCCCTGTGCACAAACAATCTTTCTGAGGCTGAGGTATAATGTTTAACGTTATATATAAGGAGCGTAGGGATGTAGATAGTTCTGTGTATTAGAGGCATGTGGGTGCATGTCATTTTATTGAACTATTTTAAAATTTCACATGTTGCATGCACTGATTCTCATGGCTGTAGGAACACTCCCCCCCCCCCCCCAATAATTTTGCCGAAATATAGATTACTATAGAAAACAAAGCTACTATATGCTTGTAGCCCCTCAATAAAAACATCTGATGACCTTTTTATTATTTTTTTTTTTTTGCTTGTCTGATTGTCAAGGAATTTTTAGTAGATAATAGTGCCCCGACCCCCAACTAAAATGTATGGCTGTGCCCCCCCCCCCCCAAAAAAAAACCAACTGTATCTACCACTTCTTCCAGTAACCAAGTAAAGTGCTTTGACCTCAACTTGAGCAAAACTGTTGATTATCGCATATTAGGTGTGACAGTATGTGCATATATACAGGTGCAGGTTAAAGCTATATACATGTACATTGTATGGCATATCGGAGCTAAAAAATCAACAAAAAAAAGAGATCTAGATTGAGTGTAGATATATATGATATATGTTATTTAAGTTCAAATTAAAATTTTCACTGATTTTGAACTTAGATGACCTCACATTCCTATAGTTAAATTTACTTTAAACTTTGTTATTTAAATGTGGAGTTGGTAAATAAATTGGTTATTATTTTAAATTTTTAATATCTTTGAAATGCGATTGATTTAGATTGTGTAATTTGCAAGAAAGTCTTATCTTTATGTAATGTAATAAAACAAATAGAAAGATTCATTTTAATTTTAGTTATCTGTACTTATCAAAAAATATGCCATATATGACTTTAAAAACTGGGTAAAAAATGTCTGTTGGTCCAGTTAACCGTAGTCTGAAGTCCAGGAGTTCATGATAGAGCTTGTGTTCAATTCAAGAAACTGTTTCTGCAAGGCAGCACTATGACAGCTGCTTTTAAAGATGAGAGTCCTTCTGAACTTTCTTATGAAGAACATATTACAAGAATTACCATATATTCAGTGTTGTCACCAATTCATTTCATTAAATAATGGCACCTATTCATGTACATTAGATATAACTTTTCCAAATTGGCAGTTTTTAGCAGCTAGTACATATACTAGGAGGTTTAATTTAGCAACAGCTGTGATTATTGAAAAAGCTGGAAAAGCATGTTTTAAAATGAAAAGAATTATTAGTTTTGATAACCCATGTAAGCTTTTAGAAAAACTTTTTGATGCTATTGTACTTCCAGTTCTTCTCTATTGTAGTGAAATATGGGGAGTGGATCTCTCATTCAAAGATATTTCAAATATTGAAAAATTTCACTTAAAATTTATTAAAGATATCCTTGGAGTGCACTGCGAAACATCCAATGATGGTTGTCTAGCAGAACTTAAATGACTACCACTTTGGTTTAAAATTTTATTCTCGAGTATTAAATATTGGAATCACCTGAAAACTTCTGATTCTTTGGCTTTTAAACTTGACAAATCCACAACACTGATACACTTACAGGCACTACACTATGTTCAGCAAAGAATTTATAAAGTATGTTTCTAATATTGCAGGTCTGTCAAACATGTCCTCAACAGCCGGCCAAGACGAAATTGTTTGGACACAGTATAGAATGATGAAAAACAAAGCTATTCCATTGGTTGAGGGGCTGTGGAAAAATTTGCAACCAGCTGAATTTATGGGAGATACTAATTGTGTTTCCACCCTGAAAGATAAGGATGATAATCATTGGATAGTAACAAATTGCAGAAAGAAGCTCCCATTCATTTGCAAGGTTATGGGAGCCCCTAAATCTCCTGGTATTATCTTAGATTTTTTTCTTTTCTTTTTTATTTTAGAAACACTGCTGAATTATAATGTAAGCAAAACACTGGCTGTTGCCTTATTTATCCAAACATGGCAGTAACTGCATATGATGATTTAGATCAAACATTTTATAGCGAAGAAGTTTGGTTTTGCTTTAGTTCCAGATAACTGTTTTACTATGAAAATGAAATCCTGACATGAAAAATTAGGATGTAACTCTTACTACTAATTGCATATACCGATAGATGATGATAAAAAAGTGCAATTTTTTTTTATTATTCTAATCTTTTGACCTCATTAAATAATAGAAAAAAAGAAAAGTTAAGGTAATATATAATAAATTATTACTTTCTCACCCCCATCCTCACCTGTCATATTGTTTACCCCAGCATTTTAAAAATAGGTTGGTATACACAAAATTCAAAACTTATACATACCTCAACATTGTTAAAATTAAGGTTGCTTAATTCAAGCTGAAAATTTGTTATTGTACTCATTGAAGTATTATTATGATGAAATTAGAGCAATTTGCATGAAGTGAATGTGTTATAAAAACAGTTTTAAACTAGAAAGTAAAATCAGTTTAAAACCAAAAAATATACTCTTACTCCCACTCCATTTTTAGCTCACCTCAGCAAAGTTGGGGGGGGGGGGGGGAGGGGGTATATCAGCATCCTTGTTTTGGAGCAGATTTCTTTTCAAGTACTTCTATGCCCATATTGATATCAGAAATGCATGGACCATGCTTCTAAATTGTTTCACTTACCAGTTTTAATCAGAGCACAAAAACAAACAAACAATTCTACATGGATTCTCATAAGAAATATTTTGGCATATTCAATAAGTATATCTAAAACCATTTATTATGACAAAAACGTCATTGTTCACAATTTATCGACATACTTCATACATGAACTGTATTACTTTCATCAGATGCAATGTATTGTGGAAATGGAGGCTACATAAACCAGAAGTGGCAGTGTGACGGACAGAATGACTGTGGAGATATGTCGGATGAAGTTAATTGTAGTAAGGAAGTCTTGTATCATGTTTTCTTTTATCATAATTAATTTTCCTTTTCATATACCGGTATATCATTTAAGCTTTAATATGAATTGTTACTGGTAAGTGGTGATTAAGTTAAGGGTGTATTTGAAATACAGGTGTATCTAAATTTTTATCAGTTATATCAATTTTCATTTCTGTTTTAAAGTTGTGACAAAGAGGATTTGAAAGAAAGCAAAAAAAAATAAAAAAAAAACAATAAAAAATGATTTTAATTTACAGGTTCTAGCTGCACAGAATTAAAGAGTGTGGAAGTGGGTGGCTCTGATAATATAACCATGAATACTCAGCAATCAGCGTATAAAAATGATTCTTTCTGTACCTGGACAATAAAGGCACCAATTGGTGTCAGAATAAAGGTTACAGTAAGTGTAGAAAATAATACTGGTTATATCTTTTACATGCTTTTACAAATTATTTGCACAACAAGCAAAAATGAAATAAATTCAAACAACTTTGATGAATGATGAAAGATATTAAAGAATGCAGTATTTTTTCAACTTTTTCATTATATCATGATATCCTGATCTATTTCTGATGAATTGCTGAGTGAACTGATTTGTTTTAATTAGGACAATTAAAATAGTTTTCCTGTGTTGTTTCGTCCTCCGACATTTCAACAGACAATTACATTCCTGTAGACAACCAGGTCACATGTACCAAAACCCTGAACAATAGTGATAAATGTTTAACATATTTAACAACTTAGGTGACATGAAATTGTTCAATGACAATCACATTCTCTACCATCGGCTCATATATTCTGTGTAGCATACATCCGTCTACACCGGTGACGACTGATTACACTGAACAGTGACCAAGTGAGGTGCTTTATATAGGGACCCTCAGATATAGTGAGTGAACAATCGAATATGGCGGACAAATTCCTTTTATGAATCGTGTTCAGCTTTAAGGTTGTTTAAAATGAGAAAAAAATTTATTTTGGTTGAGAATATTCATTCTTATCATCATCTACCTAAAATTCGTACCTAGTTAAATCAATTTTAAATGTTTCGTATACTGCCATCGCAGTTGTCCTGGAGTTGGTAAATGAATAATACTCTTCCCCATCAATTAAAGATGAAATGAGTAGATTAGGATGGGATGTTTCTTATACCACTAAAATGCCATGCTTTGTAAATTTCCTGAAGAAGATTTTATGCCTCATTTTTCCAAAATTGAAGTGATTGTAACTTATGAAATAAATAAATAGTTTAGAAGTGATCACAACACTCAAGATTTCATATTATCAAATTGTGAATATAATTGTGTACTTTGCTTGTGACCATATCATCTGTACAGTAAAAATTTATCACAATATAACTTCAAGTTTCTGTTGATCATTAGTGTGGTTATGACTTCAAGTTTCTGTTGATCATTAGTGTGATTATGACTCTCATAGTCATGAAAGTTTAGCACATAGACATTAACTTTGATACATGTTGTAACTAAAGTAAAACTGCTTTGCTTGCTCTAGATAAGTTCCACTTTTTACCTGGAGGAAAATGCAGATGTTCTAAGTGTATGGACGGGAGGTATCTCTTTAAAAGAGAGTAACTTCCTGGGCAGTGTAACAGGGACACCAGGGAAACAGCAGGAATTCTACTCTCAGAATAACTATCTTATCCTACAACTTAGTATGGATCACTCAACTAACGGAAGTGGATTTACTGCATCCTATACAACAGGTGTGATACTAAGTGTTTAAGATTTTGTCCATGTAGGTGTTACATGTATGTATTCTGGTTTCCAGTGATTATTTCTTAATACAATTTTTCGAAATTACTGCATACATTATACTTTACAAGAAATGCAAAAAATAAAACCCAACTATATTATGATAGAAAATTTTAATACATTTGATTTTTTGACAAATTTAAGAAAATGATATTCCAGTTCATAATGTGGTCAGAACCCCGTATAACTGTTTATGACATTATATCCATGATATATTCATCATGTATTGGGGTTGAAATAAACTTTTTTGGCTACTTAAGCAAATTTTAGCTAGGCCTAGTGGAAAAAAATTATACTAGCAAACTTGAAGGTTCACTAGCAATTTTCCATTTTCTGTGCAACTTGATCATTTCTGTGATAAAAAAAAAATACAGACTCTAATCAATCTTTTTTTTATGTCTCTTAAGACTCTCCATCGATAAATAAAGTGCAGTAAAAATATCGTCTATCAGATTATAGCAGAATATTTTCATAGAACATATCGTATACACGTACAAAAAAAATTAAATCTAATAAATGTTGTATACAGTTGTTTGTTATGGATGGTAAGTAAACTTTGTTTTCGCCAGATTTTGATAGAAAAAAATAAGGTTAATTTCCTAATATTCTAAACAATTTTAAAATTTGTTACACTACACATTATGTGGCCTTACTTACAATTTATTTTCTGTGTTTATTTTTATGACCCTGCGTATGAAAATTACAAGGATTAGTTCTTTTATTAAAAGTGTATACGATAGACACACATGGTTCACCCTGTTTTTATTCAGAGTCAACTGTGCAGATGTATTTATGTCATTCTGTAAAGTGTTTAAGTGCACAAGACAAAGTTTGTGTAAAATTTAAAACCAAAACTACAAAAAAAGGCAAATTTTGAAAAAGATCTTAATTTCTTTAACTTGATAAATTTTGCGACGAATCTTCTATCTCAACTTGCAGTTTTCATTTTTCACTCGCATTTAGCAAGTATTTCCTTTTAATTTCGACCCCTGATGTATGTGTTTGTGATACCTGTACCATGATATTTAATGATTAAACACATAATACAATGCATTATATCAAAATTCAAGCAAAATGATAAGGCCATCTTAATAAAATGGTTTGTTTGCCCTCTCCTGACCGACTGGCTAAATTTATCCAGACCCCAAAAATTTTTAAACCTTCAGGAATTCCGAAATAATTATTATTTTTTTTACATTACCCTGAATTTTCTCATCTTGTCAACAAGTATGTTGAAATTTTCTGAAAAAAATACCTACCTACCAACCCATTTTTTTTTTTACCAGGTAGCTGAGAGTAAGGAGAGGGCATACAAACATTATTTTAAAGATGGTCTAATTATGATGTTTTTAAATGGTTTAAATCCTTGTTTGATCAAATCACAGTTGATGAGACCAAAATTTGGAATGATGTGAAAATGCTAAATGCTAGCAGTAGCTGGCAGACTCTAGAATCACCAGTATATGGCCAGGCTGTTCCTTTTGGATTACAACTAGAGTGGCTGATAACAGCAGAATCGTACACAGTAGTTTCAGTAGAGGTATATAACCTTTTATTTTGATACATGTCCCAACAAAAGTTATTCCAAGGCAAACAGTTTTTTTTTCTTTGTACATGTATGAGGAAGAGATACATGTATGAAATGGTTTTAGTATTTTTAGCTCACCTGACCCGAATTCTTAAGTGAGCTTTTCTGATCGAAATTTGTCCGTTGTCTGTCGTTGTTGTTGTCGTAAACTTTTCACATTTTCATCTTCTTCTCCAGAACTACTGGGCCAATTTCAATCAAACTTGGCACAAAGTATCCTTAGGTGAAGGGGATTCAAGTTAGTTCAAATGAAGGGCCATGCGCTCCTCCAAGGGGAGATGATTACACAATAGCAAAAAATTAATGGCTTTATTGAAAAATCTTCTTCTCAAGAACCAATGGGCCAGGACAGATGAAACTCATGTGGAATTATTGTAAGGTAGTGTAGATTCAAGTTTGTTCAAATCATGACCCCCGGGGGTAGGGTGGGTCCACAATGGACAATCAAAGTTTTACATAGGAATATATAGGAAAAATCTTCAAAAATCTTCTTCTCAAGAACAGCAAAGCTATGATTGGTCATATTTATATGGAAGCATCCTCAGGTGGTGTAGATTAAGTTTGTTCAAATCATGACCCCCGGGGTAGGGTGGAGCCACAATGAACGATCAAAGTTTTACATAGGAATATATAGGAAAAATCTTCAAAAATCTCAAGAACAGCAAAGCCACGGTTTGTCATATTTATATGGAAGCATCCTCAGATAGTGTAGATTCAAGTTTGTTCATATCATGACCTTCAGGGGTAGGGTGGGGCCACAATGAAAGTTCAAACTTGTAGAGAAAAAAGTCACAGTTACTCAAAAAATTATGTAAGCATCCTTAGTTAGTGTAGATTTAATTTTGTTCAAATTGTACCCCCCCCCCCCCCCCCCCACTCCCTTTTAGGGTAGGTTGGGACCACTTATGCATTTAAGCTTTTCAATACTAAACTAATTTTTCCTATTTTCCTAGCCACAGTGCTCAGGTGAGCGATGTGGCCCCTGGGCCTCTTGTTAGATATTGTTTGATAGTGTAAAACAATAAAATTGGTACACTATTAATATTAGCACCTTTGGTTCAAGTGATCCGAAGCTCTGGAATTAGTATTGCACCAACAGTTTTCCATTTTATGATCTTTTTTTAAGTTTTACTTGCACTGCACCAGAAATGTTTTGTTGGGAAGTCAAGGTCTATTTGTTACCCAGTTATACAACTTTGTCCATTTCAAATATTGCAAATTAAACACTGATATGCCCAGTTAAATTGTTTGTTCTGATGATCAACACCCCCAAAGTAGGCTTCATTTCCTTTATTGTTTCAAGGTAAAAATGTAGTCAATTGCCCAAGCTGACAATGTATGCCTCTGTACGTGTATTACCTTGCAATTTTTTAAAATTTGTTTTTCATACTAATTGTTAGACCATTATTTACATACTGAATTGTATACAGATTTTTTCCGTTTTTTTTTTTTTCGATCATGACAAGGAGCACGGTGGATGTGATCGGTCGGCAGGGGATGCTCAATCCTCCATGGCACCTGATCCCACCTCTGATCTGTTTTGGAGGTCCGTGTTTGCTCTGCTCCCGATTTGTATTGTCTAAATGGACTTTGAAGTTGAATATTGTTGGTTATCTCCATATTTCATCCAAAAGAGTTATTGAAATTATTACCATAAACAGTGTACAATCATCATGTTAATGTTATTTTATACATTTAAGAAAGCCATGCACTTGAAAAGAAGGACAGATTTTTAGATTTACAAATGTACGGAAGACACCCTGTTGTCAGCTCCGTTTTTTCCGACATTTTGCTGAGAATAAAATTTTGGGTTCATATTTCAATTTTAATTCTATAATTAAGGGTTGATTAAAGGGTTGTAATTTGTATCACTGTAAAATGCGACTGACACCTTACCTGAATACCTGACATGCCCGAGTTAGAAGATGAAAGTAAATTGTTTACTGAGTCTGACAGACAAAAATTTGGGTGTTGAACAAACAAGATATGCCAAATTTATTTTGAAATAAATCATCATTGGGCTAAGATTTGTTTGCGCCAATGCCTTAATTGGCACTTGTGCTGGCAGTGCTATACATGTAATACTTTTGCACCAAATTTTCTCATTTTACACTATCAGAAAATAATTTTCCAATATCAATAAGAAGAAGGTACTATTTTTGCTGTATTATGCCTTATATATTTGATGTTTTCAGAAAGTTTTTAATTTGCTTAAATATGAGTTGAATATGTGAAAGTGATAAATTGGGAAAGAATATAGAATAAGGAGTGTCGTTCTCTAAATCTGCATGGTGTCATTCATTTGTTACATTTCTATGTTTTAACAGAAAAAGCATTTAAAGGGTATTTTTATCTTAAGGTAGAACCTATGTCGGAAGTCTTTGTCACAAGATTTTCAAACTTTTCAAAATGATAAATTAGCACTCGCTTGTCAATCAGATAAAAATATATGGTATGTTTCCTTGTAATTAAATGTAGTACAGCCTGTGCAACTTGGAATGATAATTTTACACAGCGACTACATATTTTCAGTCATTTTTAGGGGTACTGGTCATAATGAGAATATAGAAAATCACAACAATACTTCTTCAAACATCGTCTTTTATAGACTTTATCAATTGAACCGTATTAAGCAATATTATTCAAGAATAAATTCTTTTTTATTCAATTGACATAAAAGATTAAGTCCACATTTCAACGAATATAGGCAAATGTGCTCAATATTTTTTGAGTCGATTTACCACCTAAATTTATATATATTTTTCAAAAGTCTTTGTCAGAATGTTTTCAATTTTTAATATGGTGAAGAAGATACCCAAATAAGAACTACGCACGCTAACTCTCGATTCCCGCCTACATTTTACACTCATTTAATTCAATACTAATGGCAATTTGACCGTAAAATCTTTGTTGAATGCGAAGAACAGTTCAATGGTAATTGACTGTTAATTTTAATGCCAGTGTTAAATAGTTAATTACTCCTAATTCAAGCTCTTAAAATAAGGGGGGTAGACGATATTTTCCATTGAAATCGGGCTTTAAAGCATCAACACATTTTAGAATATTCTTGGATATGAATAAATGTTCCTTAAATCTTTTCTTATGTTTTACACATATAAAATTAAATATATATTATTAAGGAAATTCAATATTTCAGTTGTAAAACCCTTTGAAATTGGTGAAAAATTAAGCATTTTTGTAGTTTTTTGTCTGTAAACATATGTTCCCCCCCGTGAAACACAAAAAGCTTTGGTATGAATTTGTGAAATGACAGTCGATCCATATTACCTGTAAAAAGGAATTTTTGTTTCACAGGGGGGAAAGATGTTTTAAAAATATTTTCCGTTTTCCGTTGATTTCTATAGTGAAAAACACAAGTTTTACCCAAATTATAGGGTTATCTCTCTTTGTTTTCCCAAAGAAGTACTGTTTTATGAAAATTCATATAAATATCTATATAAATATGAAAAATCATTCAAATATGTTAACTTTTGAAAATTGACTTGGAGGTAGGCGGGAGAACAATGCTATCGTTCGCAGTTCTTACAAAAAGTGATTAAAATATATACCTTTCCCCACAAACGAATGAGAGACACTCTATTTATCAATACTTCTTTTCTTGACCTTTCTGCACTAATACAGGATTTATTTATTAAATGACTGTTTTGCGGTTGCGTTCAGATTTACAATGTAAATATTTATCAAAAAATGTAATTTTTTTTATTTAAAAAGATATTTTAGGGAAACATTATTATTATACACCAACCATTATGAATAATTAACAAATAATTATGAAAGGGAATGTACGTCATTTCATGATAGACATTACAAAATTTACACACAATATTTAACAGATCTTTGACCCGAAGACATTTTTATCAAGATATTGTACTATTTAAATTTCTTAGGTTTTTTTGATTTCCTTCAAAATAATTGCATACCATTCACAGTTGTGTAACTTCATTACAAGAGGCAGTCTTGGAGAAAGTACGGGGAAAAGTAACATTAAATTAATTATGACGTCATAATGGATCTAGCATTAAAAAGACGGTCTAAACTGGTTTACTTGATATGACATCATACGACGTAGGTTCTACGTTAAAGCTGTATGGTCCACAAGTGTTAAGTATTTTTACCCATGGATATTATCATCTAGGTCTATTTATCATATGTTCAAATGACAAAAAATATCCTTTCCACTTATCCTCTTGTGCCTAAGTTGTAATTAAATAATTCTTTGCTTACAAGTAAGAACTCATGAATATTTAGCATAAAGATCTTTCGAGAAGATCATATGACCTTTCAAAAGTATGGCAGGGTAAAACACACGGGTTTGTTTACTGGGTAAAATTTCATAGTTTAACCACCTATTTTACCTCAAACCATGTTCAAGAATTTTGTTTATTCAGTTAAGTAGACTGGCCGCTGCTCTTCTCTTGTGTTCTGATTCCGTCAAAGACTTACCGATAATTCTTATACACTTGTGAAATCTCATGTTTACGATTGAAGTGAAACTATTTAGTGCACATGTGCATTATCAGCAGTCATTGTGTTTATTGTGGAACCACAATAATAATTTTTTTTAACCTTCCAATTTCTTTTTCTCAGGAAAGACGTGAACTAGAGTGTGTAATTTTTTGGAAAATGAGAAACTTTTACACTGTAAATGAATGGTGGTGGTAAATCATAATTTTCGGAGATCAAAAAGATCAGATCATGCAGCTTTAAGGAAATAGTATCCACATGCAGCCATCGCCCATTTCAATTTTCAGATATGTTGTGTAAAAAATTTTAAGAAATCACATATTTTAAAATCTTTGAGGGCAATGCATGTGGTCTATATTGTCTGTAAGAAAATTTTACTGAAAATTGGTGTTAAAACTGCAACTTTTTTTTTTTAAAAGAAAATGCACAAGCTCATGAAGGCATAATTGGAATAAGGTGGTCATATAAGAAAAACTATTTGATTGAACTTTTTGCATGGAATTTAAAGAATTCAGAAAGCACAAGTTTTAATTGCCCACAACAATTTCATATTCAAAAATAAAAATACAGGAGCAGATTTACATTGAACCATTTTTTTTTTTTTAATCAGAAATAGATTTTAATCTCTGTGGACAAATGGTTTTTTTTTTTGGATGAAAAAAAAAATATTATCTGATAGTCAGAAAATAATAATAATAAAAAAAAGATTAATTCCAGATATATAAAAAAAACAATATGTGATGTCAGAAATTCAGGGGGATATTTGATTGAAAATTTAAAAAAAAAATTCTTTGACCTTGCAAGTAAAAATTGTATCAAAATTATTTAGATTGTTTTGAAAAGCAATCCATTGTGTTTAGGTTTTCTTGTTTAATAGATACAGCTACAGTAATAAAGGAGAGGGTTTAAAATATTAAGTTTCATAATTAACTTTCAAATGTTTTACAAGATTTTACAATATTTTGTTGAAGAATTTTCGATTAGAAAAAGTTTTTTTGGGGGGGAAATAATATCAGTTCATTCTAATATTTGATTCAACATAAGAGAAATCATGAACTTTTTCTGTTTCAGTTTACAGATGTAGATCTACCCTCAAATGGTTCCCTGAAAGTTTATGATGGGGAGGATCTGATGGCTCCACTTGTTTTCTCACTGACTAAAACTCCTGAATACCCCATCTACATTTCCAACAGCAAAACTGTGCGAATTGTGTTATCAACTAATATACATGAGTACGGAAAATTTCGTGGAATTCAGCTAAAATACAAAGAAGGTATTACATATGAAAAAAGAATATGAGGGATTAAGTAAATTTTAATCTTTAAGATTTTTAGTCATTGATTACAGGAATCTTGTGGCCTTTCCAATTGGAAAGTTCAGCAACATTTGCTAAAAAAAAAAAAAATGACATTGTGTGAAAATATTTTTCATATCATATAAAATTACCCCCTACTAAATAAATCATTTGGTACATATAATTTCTAGTTTAGTCATAGTAACTTCTAGCTGCAGAACTGTAGCTCTGTGGTTGAGAAAATGAGGACAAACAAACCAGAAAGGTACAGATCTAAGCATTGTGAAAACCTTCAATTTATTTCTTGTATTTTTGCATTTCACTGCTTTAAGCATGGTATCCATAGATTAACCGTTCATTTTACTCTTATTGTTAATACTTAAGAGCCATTCTCTGTAATGACTTCAACTTTTATATAGGAGCTGTGGCACGCATAGACTCAGAATTTCTCCGAACTCTCTATGATAAAAGTCTTTGATACCGTAAACTCAAATCAGGCAAAAATTGGTTGCTACGTGTCATGGTTACCATAGCAACATGTCCTAAAGTTTGAAAAATGGCATTTTTCAACATGTTTAGAGTCCCACAGTTAATGTTTGCAGTAAAGCAAACAAGTGGCAATAACTGTTTCTTAAAGTTGAAGGCCTGGTGTCTTAAATGCATGATAAACATGTTTGGTAAATCAACTATTACATACATTACTAAGGAAACACAGTATTCAAAAGAAATAATTTTGTTCATTTAATTTTATAAAGTCATACCATTAAGAATAATAACAGTTATAGGTTGAAATGCAAGCAAATAATAGACAAGAGATCCATGTTACATATACCAAGGATGAAATATGATATTTCTTATAGGTTGGCAATGGTTGCCGTGGTTTTAATACCACGAAGGGATTTTAAATTTACTCTCTTAGTGTTTTAATCTTATCCTATCTCTTTAAAAAGCATATTTCTATGTAACTGATGATCAATTTTGAAAGGCGTTGGTGTGACCCTAATTTTCACATTTCTCAAAATTCAAATTCAATTCTTTAAATAGAGCATTGCTATGGAAATAGGGCGAAAAAACATACATAAAAATCCGAAAAAATATTCTGTTTCCTTGGATACGTACCCCTGTATGTAGATTCCCAAAACTTTTATGATTGATATGTATGAATAACTAACCTGACTTTCAATTTTGACTACCACCCAATCTCTAACTGGATGCAAAAAAACTGCCACATAGAGTTTAATATTGATATAAAATTAACAAAATCAAACATTTTCCCTTCTTGGTAACCATAGCAACAGTATTGTATTTTTCAACAAACTTTATCAATATATGATATTCAACTTTATTTCTACCAGATAAGTACTATTCAAGGTGAGTCAAATAATATGTTTCTTGATTGAAAGGTAAGTAAATTCCTAAAGCAGCAAAAAAATATCACTTTAAACAACTAGTATGTTGTTTCCATGGTTACTCTGCAAAGTGACAATTAATTCCAATTTTTCTTATGTTGTCAGTGTTGCAAGGTCTTGGATGCATATGTGCCAGTCATGAATTTTATTGTTTTTCCTCAAGATAGTAGAATTAATACAATCATAGCAATAGATTTTGTATAGTAACACTGTGTTACCATGGCAACCATGAAAGTTATTTTTAGAATAATATTGCCAATACCTAATTACTTAAGGTCGAATATTTTTTATTGTTTTTTCTTAGCTTGTTGATTGAGTTTGATCATGTAACATCTATCATTTGTGAATATTGAGCATTTTTCATCATTTTTTCAGCATCTAAAATGCATTCCAAATGTACCCATGGTTACCACTTACTTAGAGATAAATTCTAAATAGTTTCTTTATAGCATAAGTGGCAACAAGGTGTCATGTTTTTGGGAGAATGGTTTGTTTGTTTTTCTTTGTCTCTATTAAGGCTTAAGAAAGATTCAAAGTAGCTGAAAATCTCAATTTTTTCAACTTTTCTGGCTGTTACCATGGCAACCAAGACACATAGCAACGAAATTTTATTTGATATATGTTTCTGGTGTCATGTTGTAATAATGGGCAAAGTTTCATCAAAATCGGTGACCATGTGTGGCAAAGAAGTTTAAGTGGTTACAGAGATTTAACTTTCAACAATTCCAAACAGCAGTATATGGCCTTGAAATGTCAGTTCAAAAAATTCACATTCCATGAAAAGAATGTAGTTTTATGAAAAATGGCGACTTGTAAAAGAAGCGAAGAGATGATATTGATATTGAAAACGCACCTTGCACTAATAAGTCCTAGATATGGAAACATTTTAGGTACTTGGCAACCTCAGAAAACGGGACAAGAAAAGTTGACAAAAGTCAAGCAGTCTTCAAAGTGTGGTATATACAGAAATTAAAGCATCGGGGATATTGTTATTTGCTAGTGCCCTCTGGGTATTCTCTTAAGAAAATACATTGGCGAAAACCACTCCATTTCTCTAAAGAGAATACCCCGGTACTCAAGGCAACTCTGTACAAAGACAGTATGTATTCTCTCATTTTCATGAAAGAATTTCATATTTTAAACCAATAATGGATCAATCATTTGTAAACCAAGTTGTTTATAAACATATGACAATGCATACAATTAATATTGTTTTTGATAAATTTTTAGTCAGTGACATTAATGAACTACAAGTATTAATTTTCGAAGCACGTTATTTGATATAAAATGTTTGTTGATTTATTGTCAAGAAGACAAATAAAAAACAAATTTTATTATTATTTTCTAATTTATTATAATATTTAGATACATGTACATGTATTGTATTGTATCATATTACATGTATCAAGATATGTATCGTATCACAAGGTCTGTGTATCATCCCACCCCTAAAGTGCCTCAAAATTATAAATTAAATTTTTTGGAGCTTCATATATCATCTAATTGTCTAAAAAGTAAACATAATGTTTGTAAAAAAAGAAATTAGATAAATAAGATTTGGGAGTGTTATTTTAGCATGACAACAACATGGACTTCAGGATGCGAATTTTTAAATATGGTATTCCAAGCCCATGTAGGGCGTTTTGAACCATTGAAAGGTAAATAAAGTGTCGGGAATGGGAGTAAAATATGTGGTTAATTAACAAATTCCATGTTTCAAGAGAGGGAACACATAAAATGCAAGAAATATACCTAAAGCGAGTGACAAAAAAACGGGGCATTAAATCTAAGGTTTTTAGCTCACGTGAGCTGAAAGCTCAAGTGAGCTTTTCTGATCACATTTTGTCTGTAGTCCGTCTGTTCATCGGTCTGTCTGTAAACTTTTCACATTTTCGACTTCTTCTCCAGAACCACTGGGCCAATTTCAACCAAACTTGCCACAAAGCATCCTTGGGTGAAGGGGATTCAATTTTGTTCAAATGAAGGGCCACGCCCTCTTTCAAGGGGAGATAATAAAGAATTAGTGAAAAATTAATAGCATCTTTTAAAAATCTTCTCCTCAAGAACCACAGGGCCAGGAAAGATGAAACTCATGTGGAAGCATCCTCAGGTAGTGTACATTCAAATTTGTTCAAATCATGATCCCCGGGGGTAGGGCGGGCCCACAATGGAGGATCAAAGTTTTACATAGAAATATATAGGAAAAACCTTTAAAAATCTTCTTCTCAAGAACAGCAAAGTCATGATGAGTCATATTTATATGGAAGCATCCTCAGATAGTGTAGATTCAAGTTTGTTCAAATCATTACCCCTGGGGGTAGGGCGGGGCCACAATGAAGGATCAAAGTTTTACATAGAAATATATAGGAAAAACCTTTAAAAATCTTCTTCTCAAAAACAGCAAAGCCATGATAAGTCATATTTATATGGAAGCATCTTCAGGTAGTGTAGATTCAAGTTTGTTCAAATCATGACCCCCGGGGGTAGGTAGGGGCCACAATGGAGGATCAAAGTTTTACATAGAAATATATAGGAAAAACCTTTAAAAATCTTCTTCTCAAACACAGCAAAGCCATGATGAGTCATATTTATATGGAAGCATCTTCAGGTAGTGTAGATTCAAGTTTGTTCAAATCATGACCCCTGGGGGTAGGGCGGGGACACAATGGAGGATCAAAGTTTTACATAGAAATATATAGGAAAAACCTTAAAAAATCTTCTTCTCAAGAACAGCAAAGCCATGATGAGTCATATTTATATGGAAGCATCCTCAGATAGTGTAGATTCTAAATTATTCGAATCATGACCCCTGGGGGTAGGGCGGGGCCACAATGGAGGATCAAAGTTTTACATAGAAATATATAGGAAAACCTTTAAAAATCTTCCTCTCAAGAACAGCAAAGCCATGATGAGTCATATTTATATGGAATTATCCTCAGGTAGTGTAGATTCAAGTTTGTTCAAATGATGACCCCTTGGATAGGGAGGAGCCACAATGGGGGATCAAATTTTTACAAAGGAATATATGGGAATTTTTTTTTAAAATCTTCTCAAGTACAACAAAGCCATTTGTTATATTGACATGGAAGCATCATCGGGTAATTTAAAATTCAAGCCCCCCCCTCCCCCCCCAGTAATCTTTTCAATACTGAACTGATTTGTGCTTTTGCCTAGCCAATGTGCTCAGGTGAGCGATGTGGTCCATGGGCCTCTTGTTACAATGATTGGATCTGTAGCTCTTAGGTTTGTCCGAATTTTTGTCAGCCAGAGAGCTAGAGTTCTGTAGCTATCTTTTTTATGGAATTGAGCTCTTGAGCTCGAATGCCATATCGTGGGCGACCAAACTTTACGCGACCGAATTTGTCCGTCCATGCATCCGCAAAAGAAAATAGCAATAACAATGCATTGATTTCTTTGACAATATTCACAGTAAATAATAGCTTGAAAATAAAATTGCATCAATTATATCTACAAATAATTTGTCACATAATAAAGATACCCTGTTTTAATTTTTATTTTCACACAAGAAAAACGTGACAGTTCTTGCGGATGAATTTCTAAAGAAAGGCTGTGTTGAATGACATGAATATCATTTAAGAAGGAGAACCATGTAAACACAAACAATTTGTAGTAATACAATTTAATAGGCAGTAAAATAACCACAATATTAATTAAATTAACATGAATGCTAGAAGACTAAAAGGATTGAATTTCCAAATGTAAACCTTACTTTTACAATCTTATAACCAATTTTATCATAAAAACTGAAGTTATTACTGTATTTCACCATTTCTTCCATATCGCATTTTACCGTGTAGGCCTACCACGTCCGATCATATCTCGATCGTAGTCGCAACAGAGTGAGTTACGGTTGTTGTTTAGATGCACTAAAACAATGTTTAGACATTGAAAATTAGAATAATATTCATATAAATTCATTAAAACCTTGATATTTCTTTAATTGACTGAAAAAGATGACTTTGATATCCAGCATGAACATGTTCGACGATGTCTAGTCAGTTCGAACCCTGCTCTATTCAGACCATGGCATAATGCCTCAGACTGTAAATTTGACATTTTGTTTAAAACTGAACATTTTTATTAGTCAATTATTTGACCTACTGCTATCTTTAAATTAAAAAATAATGTTTTGAAACTGTTTTTTGTGTTCGATGCCATTGAAGCCTTTCAGGCTTTTGATTTTTTTGCCTGAAAATGTGCATAATTCTTTGTTATGATGGTTATTTTGGTGGTCATGCAGTCTTTTGACAGCTTATGGACATTGCCACCAAAAGGGCAAATCATGATTCCCTGAGCAGGGATTGGTTTGAAAAAGGGTCTGATTTATGATCTAGAATTATATATAAAAAAATTTTTCTTCTTGCAAACTTGGAGATTTTTGAATGTTCTTGCTAGCATTAAGTTTGGTACAGAATCAAATTTGTTCAAAGCATGGCCCCAACTATATTGTTTAGTAAAAAAAAAAAAAGACAAAAGGCACAAGGGCTTTTACAGTCAGCCAAGTGTCAATATGCAAGTTTTTTTTTAGCCTTCTCCCTTTCTGTATTGATTCATTCTGCACCACATAATGGTGATTTTATATGAATTTGAAAAATTGAAGCCTCTTATTCTCTGGAAAATAAATAATGAATTCATGATGATTTTTCCTATGTACTTCTTTGAATACAAATAATTTTATATCTACAGGCTGTATGTTGGATTTGATGCAGCAGGGGAAAATCTTCTCACCTGGATACGAGATAGGCAACTATCCTTCCAATGTCACCTGTACATGGCATATTCACCGAAACAGTGGAGAAACTAGACCCATTTCTCTTCGCTTCACAGATTTCAAATTAAAGTTAAATTCTGATTATGTAGAGGTAAATGATAGTATTGTAAATTCTGAAATCAATTAAGTTCTCCTATCCCTCTTTTTAGCTCACCTGAGTTGAAAGTTCAAGTGAGCTTTTCTGATCACCCATTGTCTGTTCGTCTGTAAACTTTTCACATTTTAAACTTCTTCTCAAGAACAACTTGGCCAGATTTAACCAAAATTGGTACAAAGCATCCTTGGGTGAAGGGGAGTTAAAATTGTTAAAATAAAGGGCCAAGCCCCCTTCCAAGGGGGAGATAATCAAGAAAAGACAAAAATAGGGTGGGGTCATTAAAAAATCTTTCTCAAGAACCACTGGGCCAGAAAAGCTGAAACTTGCGTGGAAGCATCCTGGGGTAGTGTAGATTCTAAGTTGTTTAAATCATGACCCCCAGGTTTAGGGCAGGGCCACAATAGGGAATCAAAGTTTTACATTGAAGTATGTATGAAATATTTTTAAAAATCTTCTTCACAAGAACCACTGAGCCAGGAAACCTGAAACTTATGTGGAAGCATCCTGGGGCAGTGTAGATTCTAAATTTTTCAAATAATGACCCCTAAGGCCTACGGGTAGGGTGGGGCCACAATAGGGAATCCAAGTTTTACATTGAAATATGTAGGAAAAATCTTCTTCCCAAGGACCACTTGGCCAGAAAAGCTGAAACTTGTGTGGAAGCATCCTGGGGGTAGTGTGTAGACTCTAAATTGTTCAAATCATGACCCCCGGGGGTAGGATGGGGTCACAATAGGGAATCTAAGTTTTACATTGAATTATAATGGAAAAATCTTCTCCTTGGGTAGTGTAGACTTTAAATTGTTCAAATCATGACCCCTAAGGCCTAGGGGTAGGGTGGGGCCACAATAGGGAATCCAAGTTTTACATTGAAATATGTAGAAAAATATCTTTAAGAATCTTCTTCTCAAGAACGACTGGGCCAGAAAACCTGAAACTTAAGTGGAAGCATCTTGGGGCAGTGTAGATTCTAAATTGTTAGAATCATGACCCCCGGGGGTAGGGTGGGGCCACAATAGGGGATCCAAGTTTTACATTGAAATAAATAGGAAAAAATCTTCTTCTCAAGAACCACTTGGCCAGAAAAGCTGAAACTTATATGGAAGCATCCTGGGGTAGTGTAGATTCTAAATTGTTCAAGTCATGACCCCTCGGGGTAGGGAGGGCCACATTAGCTATAGGGAATCTTAAGTTTTACATTAAAATTTATAGGAAAAATATTTAAAATTTGTCTTCTCAAGAACCACTTGGCCAGAAAAGCTGAAACTTATGTGGAAGCATCCTGGGGTAGTGTAGATTCTAAATTATTCAAACCATGACCCCTAGGGGTAGGGTGGGGCCACAATAGGTATTACAAGGGGGAAAATCTGTGAGGAACAGCAGGGCCAGAGTTACTCAGGTGAGCGTTGTGGCCCATGTGTTTCTTGTTTTCCTTTGGAAAGGACCAATGATAATTTTTTTTTTGTTTTTTGTTTTTTGTTTTTGTTTTTTTTTAAATGGAGTAACTAAAATTTCTTAGAAATCCTCTCTAGAAAGCTATGCTGAAATTTGCCAAATCAAGAATCTGTACATATACTATTGAATTCAGAGTCACATTGTGGTCTGCAGTTAGTTTTCTGTCTTCAAAATATCCTTGCAAAAAAAAAGTAGAATCAGGTATGTCCTTATCAACCAACAATGAGTGGGGGCCAATTGGAAGAAATGCTGAGAAATTCAAATCTCTGTTATATAAATCATTTGTTATCCTTTTTTAATGTCTCCCAGAAGGCATATTTGTTTTTAGTAATATTTTTCATTTTTACAACTTTGTCAACATGAGTTTGTAGCTGTATAAAATTCAGATTCATATACTGTTTTAAGTTTTGTTTGAGCTTATGCATTCACTTTTATAATAATCAAATTTATGAAATTGTAGATCTACAATGATACAACAGGAACAAAATTGCATACAGGGAATGGATTAACTGGGACAAATGCTATTACAGAAATATTTAGTTCTACTGATGGTCACCTCAATGTGACTTTCAAGTCCAATCTTGTGCTTGTGGAAAAGGGATTCAGTGCTGATTTTTCTATTGGTAAGGGAGGTTTTAATGGAGCAAGTTACTTTGCAATGTAGACCAAAAAAAAAAAAACAAGCATTGAAAAGGTTTTACCTATCATACAGGTATTACTTGCAAAATCTTTTGAACTTATTACCTTTGATATCTTTGCTGTCTGCAATTTACATAGAGATTTGATTTTAGCACAAAAGTTAGATTCCATACATTGTTATTTTTTAGCTGCAGATCAGTAGCTCACTTATCTGAAAAAATTGAAATGGATGACCAAAAAAGAACAGTTCCATGCATTCAAACTAAAGAGTCTTTATTTATTTTGTGTTTTAACAGTTTTTAGCTATCAGGGTTTCTAGATGTCTGACTTATTTTTACTAGAGTGTTAATTTTGTAGTTTTTGACATAGTGTAAACATTGTAGTGTACTTTGAAAGTAAAAGAGCAGCACAATTATACCTGTTTACCATTTATTGAAAGTTAATCAGTGTTTAAATGCTTTAAATTTTTATTCAGATTGCCCCCCGTTAACCCTGTCTCAGTGGACAATGAATTCAGTATCAGGAAAGTACACAGCTCTGAATACAGTAATAACTCTGTCCTGTCAGACAGGCTACTCATTTAAACAAGAGGAGTACAATAAGGAAAGCTCCGTATCTCTGAAGTGTTTACCTGGAGGAAGGTGGAATGTATCCAGGATTCCTGACTGCCAGAGTAAGTCGCGGTTTACCTTTATTGATTTGTATATATTGTCAAACCTGATTATCTCAAACTCGATGAGTCCAAGAAACGACTTTCAGATATATGAAGATTTGAAATACCAAGGTTAAAATATATAAATAAAGGGTTATAGGTGTTTTCATTTCACTTAATCATATCCGAGGTATTTGAGATATCTAAGTTTGAGATAAAGTTCAACTTTAATTTAATACTGTTGTAATTTTGAAAAGCTTTTTTCATAAAGTAGTTCAAGCAGAAATATGTGAATACAGTATATGTTGGATAAATGTATACTGAAGGGAAAAAGAAACGCATGGTAACAATATGCAAAAATGTTATGACTGCATGGACGAGAATTATGAAAACTGGTCAGAGGGGTATCTTGATTAATGTGCACTAAAAACTGTTAAAAATTACTCAACCATGAAATGTATGATATTGCATGGGACAGTGTTAAAAAGCCAAAAATGTGCAAATTGATGATGACAGGTTTGTCAACACATCTCAGAATACCACTTGATGCATTGGTGGTATATACACATCCTTTTTCGATATTTTCAGTCGATCTGAATTTCTGGCAGTCATGGTATGGCTGATGAAAGTTTCATTGGGTCTGGCTATTGCATTGCTTAAGTAAAGAAAAAGGCAAGAACTAGTTATTGTGCAGTATGTTGTGAATTTTTCCACCATAAAACATTTTATCAATCATCAGCAAGAAACTGGAAAGGTTTCTAACCAACTGTGACAGTGACATAAGCACAAAACAATGCAATGTCAAAATGGGGCTATACATCCTGCCACCTGTGTAATCGTCACATTTAATAATACCACTGGAACCACTTGTAATAAAGTTGGCAATCATAAGCGTTAAATTCACCCCAAAACTGAAAGAAACTGATCGCACAATTTTGGTTTGTGAGCTCGTCAAATTTACGTTGGTGTTCCTCTCACTCCTGCACGTGCATCATATGCCTAATTTTTCAGTATTTTGACTCACTGCCCAATATAGCAGAGTTTATCAAGACTTTCTTGTAATCAATCATATTAGCCCACTCCACTTGTCTCTGTTAAGTCCACCTTTTTTCTCCAATTGAACATTTATGGGACTAACTGGATGGTAGGGTTTGAAGACTTCAGATTGACTGAGCTACTCTGGACCAATAAAGGGCTGCCTTGTCAGAAGGATTGAATATTATCCCTATGAGAAAGATAAACGTACTGATGAACTCCATCAAAGGAGAATCAAGGTTTGGAAAGATGCACAAGGGTGGCACAGGAGATGATGAGAATTTTCAATTTTCTTTTATTTGGGGGTGGGTGGGTGGGGGTGGGGGTTTACTGTCATATGAGTTTCAGTAACTCATGAATTAGCAGTCAAAATCAAATGAGTTGAATTCAAAAGCTAGATAACAATACTGGCAAATTTATTCAATAAAAAAACATTAGCTCTTTTCCTTTCAGTATTTATAATTGCATGATTTTAATTATTGATTAATTTGTAATGACTATGTAGAAATGTTAAGATTGATTAAAAAAAATTGTCATTTGTTATTGTAAATTTGTTAATGCAAGATTGTTATAGGATGCGTGAAGTACAGTTGTGAAATATTTGGGTAGTTCCTGGCATTTCAGTGAATAATTTTCAATTTTCAGTTACATACTGTGGTATTCCACCTGCAATTCCAAATGGATTATTAAAAAATGCAACCGGTCCAAGAGTTGGAGACAATGCAACGTATGAATGTGATGGGGGCTTTACAATGAATGTTTCTCCCACAATCAAATGTCTGGCTAACGGAATGTGGGAGTCAGAGCCTGTATGCAATGGTAAGTGAAGAATGTTCGATCTTGGCAAGCATTTTTCCCAAAGTTAATTCACACTGATTTTCTTTCAGTTTACCTCATTTTTATATCTAAAAGTTTAACAATGAACTTAATCATTTTTAGCTTACTGCATAAAAGACAATTTTAGGTTTATTCAATCTATCACTGTATATATTCTCCATAGATTTCATAATTCTTTGATATATTATATATGAAATTACTTTCAGCTCAACAATGCCCATCAGTAAGTCCCCCAATCAATGGAAAAGTAAATGCGACTGCTGGGGATGGTACAGAGTATGCCACTGTGCTGATGTTCAGCTGTGATCCTGGATATGACCTCTTAGGGTCTATGTACATCCATTGTAGATCAAATGGCTCATGGTCACATCCTTTTCCAACTTGCCAGAGTAAGAAATTTTAAAAATACAATTTCTTATTAACATGTAGTAAATCATACATAGTGAGCAAGGATCACTAAAGGCCTTTTATGTTTTGGCCTGGTGAATTTCTAAAAAAAAAAATCAGGAATGCACAGTTTTAGTTGGCAATACATTAAATAATAATTCGGCCCTTTGTGACTGCACATCTATTGAAAATGATGTAATTTACTCACTAGTCCATTTAATATGATGTGAATTATGTCATTCTTCCCAAATCCTGAAAATTTCTTCAAAAATGGCAAAGAGTTAAAAGCTGTTTGTCAATATTTTGTATAGAGCCCAACATCTGATCCAAAATGTACAATTATATATACCCAGGTAAAGAAAGAACTTCTTTTGAAGATTACAAAAACGTGTTTTATTTATTTATTTTTTTAGATCAGAAGTTGGAATAATATTTTAATTCTTTGCTGAGGATATATTTTCTGCAAAATTTAAGAAATTGCAATTTCACAAAGGCTGTTTTTATTACGTAGAGTCTCAGAGGAAATTGCAAATTTATTTTATAGGAAATATTGCAATTTTATTTTATAGGAAATTGCTTTTCATTTTATATAAAATGAAAGCACTATAAGTATCTACCTGTATTTTATATTGGTGTTTGCAATGGGAAATAGGGTCTTGACCAGTTAATTGGTATATGGACAGTTCCATTTTATGCATTAAGTGAATTTAACTCTTTGGTGTGCGATTATTTTAATTTCCATGTCTTTAGTACAAATTTCTATCCATGATGTAAGCATATTTGTATAGTGCTGTTCTTGTAAACATAAGTGTAGAATAAACTAGAACTGCAACTTTTATTGAACATATGTATCTAATTGCATTGATTTATTTCAGAGATAAAGTGCCAAATTCCACAAGTAATGAATGGTAAGGTAGAAGCAGCTGGTGATGTGGAATTTGAAGGGACAGCCAAGCTGAAATGTGATACTGGATTTTCTGTGAATGGTAGCAGCATTGTTGAAAAAGATGTTACATGTGGAAGTGATGGACAATTTTCAAATTTAGAACCACATTGCATTAGTAAGTTGTCCAGTTTAATATGTCCCCCTTTGAAGAAAGGATGGCATATTACTTTGCTGCTGTCTGTCGGTCTGTCTGTCGGTCCACCAACAGTTTCCATTCATTTTCTTCGCACATACTGAAATGTAACTTGGTATACAGATTTATCATAAGAATATCTAGGTCAAATTCTGTTTTGGGTATGATCGAGCAATTTTGAGCTCACCTCAATGAAGTTTGGGGAGCTTATGTAATACCCTCGACGTCGGCATCGGTGTCCCAGGTTAAAGTTTTTCGAGCAGATTTCTTTTCAAGTACTGCTATGCCCTATATCAATCAGAGGTGCATGGAGGATGCCTCTAGTGTGTTTCATTGTACCAGTCAAGGTTTCAGATGCTGCAATTTCAGCTAAAGAATGACCAGGTTAATGTTTTTTGAGCAGGTTAGAGTTTTTGAAGCAGATCTCGTTTCCAAGTAACTATAAGTCCTATGTTGACCAAACTTGTATGGAAGATACATCTAAGGATGCACACTACTGAACTTGCTTTGGATGCTGAATATGACCTACATTTTCTGGATGAGTGACCAGGTTAAAGTTTTTGGAGCAGATCTCCATTTTCAAGTAACTACATGCCCTATGTTTACGAAACTTGCATGGATGATACATATAAGGATGCACACTACCTGCTTCAGATGCTGGATCTGACCTACATTTTCCATATTAGTGACCAGGTTAAAGTTTTTGGAGCAGGTCTCATTTCTCAGTAAATAAGCCCTATATTGACCAAACTTTCATGGTTGATACGCATAAGGATGCACACCCCTGGACTTGCTTCGGATGCTGGATCTGACCTACATTTTCCGGATGAGTGATCAGGTGAAGTTTTTGGAGAAGGTCCATTGCCAAGAAACTATAAGGCCTATCTGAACCAAACTTGCATGGATGATGCATCGAGGGATGAACATTTTTATCCCCATCGCGCAACTAGTTGCGGAGGGGATATAGCATCGCTACTGTGCGTATGTGTGTGTGTTAGTGTGTTAGTGTGTCCGTTACAGCTTGTGGGCAAGATTTAAAGAGAACCTTTGGACTATCAATTCTCAGCTTCCACATACTTATGTGGCATTGTAAAAGGACGAACCCTATTCATTTTCAAATTAATCGGTAAAATATTTCTTAAAATATCGCGATTTTACTACCTTCAAATCCTGAAATTTTATGTACGACTTGACAATACTCGCTTCCGCTTAATCAACCTGGAAAATTCGGTTCGCTTCGACAGACTCGCTTCAGAGTTCAGTAAGTTCTACTTTGTATTTACTTATTGTCATATTATTGTGCGTATCTTGAGACAGTCTGTATAAACTAAAAGTGTCATCTCTGAGGCTGAGTAATTGAAATAATTTGATGAACGTCGCGGTTTCATTACCAAATTTCCACAGGTGTCTGTTTACAACATGGAATTTATTCTTGAGGCGCATGTAATTCCCGAAAGCTATAAAGACATTTCACAAGTTTCAGTGACCTCTCAACACCGGTATATTTTCATTTTTTATTACGAAGAAATATTGCTTCCGCGGGTATTCTCAGATTTTATGCATATTGCATACAACTTTGAGATTTACATAGGTAGGTAAATTACTGAAACTTAGAGCATACGTGATATGTTTCTGCTAGGAATAAGGGAAACTGCCCACTTACGTATGCATGTTATTCCCCCCCTCCCCCACGATGTTATGCACTTTGATTTAAAAATGCCCCCACCCCAAGATGATTTTGTTAAAATTGTGCTGCAATATATTTTATTTACCTTTAAATATTTTAAACTTAACTAGTTGATTGTATCTTCATTAACGTCCCTCTTGAGAATTTTGCCATTACCGGTGAAGTGCCTGGCGCGAGGGGATGCTCCGCTTAGCGGTGTTCTTGTCAAACTTGCTTCGGATGCTGGATTTGACCTACATTTTCTGGATGAATGACTAATTTAAAGTTTTTAGATAAGTCCATTCCCAAGTAACTGCAAGCCCTATCAGACCAAAATTGCATAAATATTGCATCTAGGGATATATTTGTATTTCGCACATAAATGTAAATATAAGGAATGACTGTCTAGTTTGTTGGGTATGCCAGGGACATCACTAATAGTTGGGATAAATTATGCATAATGGACTTTGCCCATTATGCAAATTATCCCAGGTTTCCATGCAACTACCGTTGATGCCCTAGCTGGCATTACCAATAAACTAGACAGTGATTCCTTAAAAAAAAAATTTGGATTTCAAGAACCTCTGCAGGGAGACAGTTTGAGGAAAATATTGAGTTTCAAATCTCTGTGCTGTAAATTAAGATAGTTAATGGAAAATAATTTTGTTGTAGATAAAGATGAATGTTCTAGTGGGGTGTGCCTATCCTACACTAACACAGAATGTATAGATACCATTGGATCTTACATATGTAAATGTAAAGATGGATTCGGGAGAGCAGGAGAAACAGGAAGTTGTAGTGGTAAGTGTACGTCAATTCAATAAAGAAATTTGTTGAAGTGAAACAAAGCTCAAATCACTTTTTCTGTCTATTCTGTCAGGGATCCATCAGATTAAAGCACAGTGGGGAAATATCTTAAGGAAATATGAAAGTAGTTAGTTCACTTCAACCCCTCCACACTTTTATGTGTATTCAGATAGCTTTGTAGGAAAATTGATCTGAGATAATTACAAAAATTAAGCTGAATTAAAAAGAGGACATCTTAGACATAGTTAAAAAAAATCTTCATCAGATTTGGGGACAGGGCCGATTTTGGTACATAATGTACCTTCTTCTTTGCTGAAATCATGACCCCTGGGGGTAGGATGGCGCCACAATGAGCGATCAAAATTTTACATAGGAATACATAGGAAAATTCTTTTTCTCTAGAATAGCAAAGCCGTGGCTGGTCATATGTATCTGGAAGGATCCTCAGGTAGTGTAGATTCAAGTTTGTTCAAATCATGACTCCCCAGGGTAGGGAGGGGCCACAATGGGGGATCAAAGTTTGGCATAGGAATATATAGGAAAGATCTTCTTCTCAAGAACCGCAAAGCCATGATTGGTCATATTTATCAGGAAGCATCCTCAGGTAGTGTATATTCAAGTTTGTTCAAATCATGACTCCTAGGGGCAGGGCGGGGCCACAAAGTTTTACATAGGAATACATAGGAAAAATCTTTAAAAATCTTAGATAGTGTAGATTCAAGTTTGTTCAAGTCAAGTCCCCTGGGGGTAGGACGGGGCCACAATAAAAAATCAAACTTACAGGAAAAAAGCTTGAAAAACCTTCTAAAGCTATTATTAGGCAACATGGTCAAAGAAATATGGAAGCATCCTCAGGTAGTGTAGATTCAATTTTGTTCAAATCATGTCGGGGGGGGGGGGGGGGGGGGGGGGTAATTTTGGATTTTGGTTCCACTTATATATCTAAACGTTTCAATACTGAGTGGATTCTGCTTTTTCCTAGCTAATATGCTCATGTGAGCAATAATGTGGCCCATGGGTCTCTTGTTTCAAATTTTGTCCAG